CATTACACATTGTTATCACATTGTACTCCCAAGTACCTACAATTAAAGCAGTAATTTAAAATTTAATTTTCGGGGGAAAAAATGTGACAAACACGCATTCATCATAAACACCCTAAAACAGCTAATTAAAGACACTATGAAAAATTTACTGGTAAAAGGCTTTGTGCTTTATAATTAAGTTTGGGAACAAAGCAAAAAATTACTTTTTTTCCACTCTGGTCATCATTATACCAGAGATACTAACCACATAAATTGTATAATAAATATAAAATACTCAAAATTAAGAATAATAAAAACAATAATAGTTACCAGAGGCAAAAGAGGGTGGGGGTGGAAGAGTGAGTAGGTACCAAGTTGCAATTAGATAGGAGATTTATGTTCATGTGTTCTGTGGCACAGTGCAGGCACTGAAATAAATGTTGTAATATATGTTTTTAAATAGAAGAGAATTTTGAATGTTTAACCAAAATGAAACTATAAACAGGTGACCAAAATGCTAATTCCCATGATTTGACTTGATTGTTACATAATGTCTGTTTTAAGTTTCAAAAGTATAGAAAAATAAAGTAGATATGGAGCTGCCCTACCTTTCAGGTCTTCTCTCCCCTTCTCTTCTGCCCTCACCTCTGAGGGCTTTCCTGAAGTAAAGCCCGTAAGAGCAGGTGATAGGGATTGAAGATTAGGCCTGCAAATGAGTGTGAGTGAGGCTTATAATGCCGTCAGCCATGGTAGCTGGAACTCTAGCCCTGAGTAAAAGACGTCAAAGCATTACTGTTAACCTTTGGCTCAGACCTTGGGTTTTCCTCTAAATAAGTTGCCGTGCAGCACTAGCACTCTAGAGGAAAGCACTTACTTTTTTTATACTAACATAACAGCGTAAAATCTATCTGAAATTTTAAAGTATACCCTACAATATTGTTAATTATGTGCACATTAATATACAGCAGATTCTAGAGCTTTCTCGTCTTGCTTACCTGAAACTCTGTATTACTAAATACTGATCTCCCTTTTCCCTTCTCCCTAGCCGCTAGCATCCCCTATTCTATTTTCTCCTTCTGTGAGTTTGACTGCTTTAGGGATCATTTTTGAGTGCAATCATGTGGAATTTTCCTTCTGTGACTGGCTTATTTCCCTGAGTATAATGTCCCTAAGATTTATCCATCTCATCTCTTGTGAGTTTCCTTTTTTTAAGGCTAATAATATGCATTGTGCATATGAACCACATTTTCTTTATCCATTCATCTGTAAATAGATGTTTAGATGATTTCTGGTGCTTGGCTACTGTGAATGAAGCTTCATTGAACTTGAAAGTGCAAATATCTCTTTGAGATTCTGTTTTCATTCTTTTGGAATCTAAGAGGCAGGATTTCTGTATCATGTAGTTTTATTTTTAATTTTTTCGAGGAACCTGCACCAGATTTCTCATAGTAGATACACTCACTATTTTACATTTTCAGCAACAGAACACGTGGATTCTAATTTCTCTACATCCATAAATGCAAACCATGTTCATAATATTGTGTGAAGTAAAATATATGTAATACATGAACCTTCTCTTTAAGAAAGTTCTGTTCTTGGCCACAGCCACATGTCTATCTATAATCCTAGCCTGCAAGAGACTGAGGCAAAAGGATCTCGAAGAATTTGAGGCCATCTTGAAAGTGAGTTTAAGGCCAGCCTGATATGCATAGTGAAACCGTCTCAAAAAGACAAAAAAAAAAAGAAAAAATGGTCTTTCCTCCCAAAAAAACTTCGTTGCTTCTTTTCATCCTCACTTAATTCTTTTTCAGGAACTTCAAATATCAAAATACTATATTGTCAAACCATTTCTGGCTCCACAAAATAAGTTTATCACATACTGTAAAATGCTTGCTATAGCACTCTACCCTTTGTGTAACATTTAACTACAGTTGTAATTTACAGAATTAGGTGAGGTTAGAAAAAGACTTGTTTGGTTTTGGTTAATTCAATCCTTTTAGCTTAGACTGCTGCATGACATGATACAAGGTAACTAGTTTTTATTGGGAAATGTATCAGACCTGTTTTGAAGACTGTGTAAGATATTATTTTATTCCATAATGAAATGGACATAACTCATTTAAGAAACACTGCCAGAACTTACAGTCCTCCTGTGTACCCATCCTGAGTTTTATGTCAGTCATTCTTTTGCCTTCTTTAATTGTTATCTCCTTGCAGTATATCCCAAAGAAATGTGTGGTTGAGTTTGGAAAAACTTGAGTAGGAAGCACATTACCCTAATCTGTGAGAAAACTGCAGTATCATTATTATTGAAAATAGGCTCCCAGAAGATGAAAACTTGAACACTCCCTGCGTTATAGTAAGCTTCATACCCAAAAGGTTTTAAGATTCCTTTTGGAGAGGTGAGTGGTCAAGGAAAAGAGTAAATTATGCAGAATTTGGAGCTCACCACATTTGTGCTTTTGACAAGATTGTAATGTGAATTAAGTATTGGATATCCAACATATTAAACGGGCTGATTTGCATCTAAATTTATCACAGCCTTTCTCCAGCTCTCAGGAGCCTGTGAAAGCATAAAGGTTCTGTGAGGTGGAAAGATGTAAGGTGATCTAAGGCACTAGAGCAGAAACTGCATCAGTACAACCTCAAACAAGCCAAATCCGAATGGATTCTGTCCAAGCTTTGATTCTGTTAAAAGATGGGTAAAAGGTTAAAAGATGATACCGTGGTAGCGGAGACATTTCAGATGACGGTGCTCAACGCACCTATCTTTTGAGACACACAAATCCCATATTTCTTCAAATGTCTGTGGCCTCTGTTGTATAAACATAACCGAAGGAAAGCTAACTGGGAGTTCTGAGGGCCTACAAAGACTTGTCTTTGGAGTTTCACTTTAGAATGATGATTAACAATTTGCCAAAGAATCTTGCAAGTCAGCATCTTTTGATGTTTTTCATTGACTTGTCAGGGTCCTGATATCTAAAGTTCTGCTCTGTGCATGGTTACCGATTTGCCTCCATGGTTTCTCATATTTCTCCTCTTCTTTTGAGCAAAGATGCCTGAAAGCCCGTTACATACTAACAGAAGGATGTTTGTATAATGGACAACTTTTGGAAGTTAGAGATAATACCTTAGTCTGAAGCATAGGATAAATATTGTTACTGTCCAGTGTAATGATAACATCTCTCTCCATTGCAAAGATTGCACAGGTTTTCTTGTAGCTCCTTATAGAAGATTAAGGTTTCAGCAAGCTCCTCAGTTTTGGCTAACAATCCACTGGACGCATACTATCTACCCAGGCCTGTCTCTATGGACTTGGGGGAGTGGGCACAAAGGTAATTGATGTGAACAAAAAGCTCATGTTGCTTGCTGGACTATGAAGAGTAGACTCTTTTATCTTTGACCTAAGAGTCATAAGTTTTGCAGCATCTGTGAAACCATGTCAGGCTAGCATGTTAGCTTTCAAGTAGGGTAAAATCTCTTTACAGTTCTTGAATCACCAGAGACTTGTGTCTCTCCTGAGTCTAGCTGACAGACTTCCAGAAGCACAGTAGAAGAAGAATCTTTAGAAGTTCTGCATTTAGTGTGCAGTATATGTTTGCTCTGGGTTTTTGTCAGGTGACTTTCAGTTGAAAAGGGCTTCTATTTTATCCTCTCCTAAGAAGAAGCCTCTAGGCTACTGCTGGGTTGAAGGGGAAGGACAGCAATTTAGTGACGTATAGTAGGGGAAAGGACATAGGAATCCCTTTGTGTTCTTTGCTGACGGGTTACCTTCTCAAGACCATATTGCCTAATGGACTGCCTGATGTTTCTGTTTAAAATTATCTTTCTCATCCTTCTTTCCTCCCTTTGTTTTTTGCTGTAGCACTATTACTTTCAAATATATATCATTCACTTATTACTTTTGTATGTGCCACTCTACCCTATTAGAATATCAGCTATGTGAAGTAAAAAATTTTTATTTCTTTCATTTTATTTGTATCCTGCCAAACCTGGGAAGTATCTGGGCGATAAACTTTTTCACTAAGTATTTTTAGAGAAGTGAATAAGTGACACTCTACAGGTTAAAGGACAGTTTTCTGTAAGACAGTCCTCACTTCAGATATCAATTGCAAGTTTAATTGTCTGCAAGCTGCCAGCTGGCTACAAATTTAGGGGTTTCCACACATGTGTGATGATTTAATAGAACAGCATGTTGAATACCAGGAAAATACTGTATATATTGCAGATTTATTATTGGAAAAGTACAAATCAGAATCAGTCAAAAGAAAAGATACATAGACTAGGTCTGGAAAGATCTCAGATGTGAAGATTTCATTGTTTTCTTCCTATTAATCTAGGATGCATTACCACCACCATCCTCCAGCATCAATATGTTAGAATAAGCAGAATGACTACGGAAACACATCCAAACTAATGTGTCGTTATGTAGCCTTGAATCTTTTCATGCCTCAAATCTTCAGTCCTCTTCCTCTCCTTGGATGTTGGGCTTACTTCACAGGATAGGAGACCCAGTTTGTCTAGCCTCCATCCTGTGGCATCTTTGTACCATGAATTTTGTGGATCCTACCATGAAATGCTGCATTAGCGTAAACTATCTAGACTCACCAAGAATTTCGTCTACTTCCCGAAACTGGGGACAAAGGCCAAATTCTTTATTCTAGGGTTTGAAGCTTACTTCTCAACAACCAGTATAACGATCAACTAAATTTACCCTTCAACTCTAGAACACTGACTAGTGTTTTTCATACAATATATAGATCAATTCTCCAATCTAAAATAGTTGAGATTTTCTCAATTCAGACTCACCTAAATCATGACAGTTTTATATTTTCAGTCTGCATACTCATTTTTGTCACAGAGGTTAGTGAAATTACAGAAATGTTCAAATATGCTGTATAAAATTGTAAATGATAATGGAGAATTACAATCAAACTTGTATTTTAAAGTAAAAATATTTACTTACTTATACTATTATATTTTGTCTTACACCTCTCAGTTGCCTGTCTTATCTGTTTTAGGTATAACTTTGGCCTTTCCAGCTTCAGTTCATGATTCTTTCATTTGCAGTAAAACATTTCAAATTCTGTACAAAAATGAAGAGGTTGTTTTAAATGATGTTATGATCTTCAAAGTTAAAATGTTGTTGGATGAAAAAAAGGTAAATGTCTCTTCATACATATTTAGGTACATGTTTTTATAAAGCCTGCAGGCATATTTCTAACTTTTTATTAGTATTTTTAAAAAGCATGTCATATTATAATTTCTCTTCAGATTGAAGAAACTCTTGAGGAAATGAGTTTTCTATTATCCTTGGATCTGCACTTCACAGATGGTGATTATTCGTAAGTAGGCTATTCAGTCAATTAAAAAATCTTAAACTGCTCTTTACTGTCATGTATTTTGAAGTGCTTCTCTTTGCTGGGAAAATCTCATGAAGGTGATTTTAGTTACTCTTTTGTGCCCAAGCTGATTCTGTGAGGTGCAAGTGGCAAAATCAGGTAAGTTGAAGGACTATGCAACAGTTTCCTAGACTGTAGAAATTGCACAGTTGATATAGTGAGACATGGAAATATACCTAAATTCTCTTATGCAGTTTCTTCTGGATAGCCTGAGTTATGCCTTCAGGTGAGATTTTGCTGATTCTCTGAGAATTGTCAATACTCAGGACTCTGAAACTTGACTGTCATTTGTGGTTCATTAATTTCTACAGCTCTTAAGGAAGTTAAAGGACTTGCCCAAACTCCTGAACATACAGTTATGCATTTTTTGAAACAAATTGTGCTTGTATTCAGTCAAAACAAAAATCAGGGAGCCATTTAACAATTCTGTTTTTGGAGGGCTTTTTTTTTTTCCGTTTCAAGTGAGATTTTAGAAGTAGTTCTTGAAAACTGTATATAAATTCAACTAACATTTAGGACTCAGTAATCACATTACTGAGTACTAAGCAGTAATGTGAAAGGTCTGCTTTGTTTGTCCTCTTCACTATCATAGAAGAATAAAAATTTTGTAATATGTCAATTACTGACTCTGCTACTTGTTATAAGCACTCTGTAGGATTTTTATTTAATCAAATCAGCATTATTTAAGTGAGCTAAGCTGAAAGAAATAGGTAGTTCATTAGTTTTAAGTAGTTATAATGTACGTCTCCCTTCCTTCTTTCCCTTCCTCCTCCCCCTTTTCTTCCTTCTTCCCTTCCTTCCTTTCTTTTATATATTACAGAGGACTGAGCCCAGACCTTTACAATGAACTATATCCCGATCCCTTTTTTATTTTGAGTCAAGGTCTCACTAAGTGTCTAGGTTGGGATCAAACTTTGATTCTCCTGCATTCTTCTCACAGAATACTAGAATTTACAGGAATGTTCCACCATGCTTTGCTATCTGTATGTGGATTTTTTAAAAAGTATATTTGGATATAATTTTCATGACCTTTTAATTTTTTTGCATGTGTAAATTCAATGCCAACTAAATATCGGGGGGGGGGCGCCTTATTTTACTAAATAAACAATGATTTACTTGTTTTCTGACCAGGAGTTCATAAAATGTAGAATGAAAGCAATTCAGAGTATCTTTTTTGGGATTTATTATAATAGAATATGATCTATGTTATCCTGTAACTTTATTATGAACTGTACTCACTAAAGAGGAAATTAATTTCTCAAGGCTCACAAGTAAAAAAAAAGTAGCCCCTGTCATGGACTAAAAGAAAACGACGAGTAAGATCTGGTTCTTTTCTTAGTAGATATGTTGCCTAATGCCAGTTTGATTCTTTAAAAATTAGTCTTATTCTAAATTTTTGAGAAGTGCTCAAGTAAATGTTTTTGATAGTTTAAACGACTCTTTCTAAATGGTCCACACCTATATGAAAAATGTTTTTTTTTTTAAAATAGGACAGATGATCTGAACGCCTTGCAACTAATAAGTAGCCGAACACTGAAGCTGCACTTCAGCCTCTATAGAGGACTTCATCATCATGTTAATGTCATGTTTGATTATTTCCACCTTTCTGTTGTGTCTGTTACTGTCCATGCATCATTGGTTGCACTACACCAGCCACTAATAAGGTAAATTTGACCAATACATCAGTCCTTATTAATGTAAACATATTTAATAAATACAATTGAAGTCGTAAGTAATTTTTAAATTTATAATTAAATACTTTAATTTTATACTAAACTAACAAAATAATAAAATCCATTTCATTCATGTATCAGTTCATTCAGTTCATTTATCAATAAATTGATAATGTTTTTGCTTTAGTGGCATCTCAGTTCACAACAGTTCTCTCCATGATTTTGGTCACAAATTGAACTGGATAAGAACCCAATCAGATTTCCTCATAAGATCAACATAGGACCTGACCTTTGATTCAGTTCTTTTCCTACTCATTTTTCGACAAAAATCATGAAAAGAATCAAGTTTGTAAACCAAGGTATCACTGAATTAAGCAGTCTTTCTTAATTCCAAATGAGCTGGCCAAGTAAAAGAATCCAATCCAGAAATAACTCTGTAACATTGTTTAGTCTGTGCCTAACAATTGTATTTAACAATGCTGTGTTGTTGTTGTTCTTATAAAAGTATATGAATTTTTCTTAGTTGTTTTCTTTGTTTCTTTTCTGAATGGGCTAATTGTATCTTTTTAAATCTATATCAGATGATAGTTGTGCTTTCTAAGTCATTAGCCAATTTTAGGGGGGTTTTGGTTTTTTTTGGCTTTTTGGATTTTTTTGTTTGTTTTTGAGGGTTTTTTTGGTACCAGAGATCGAACTCATGACCTCATGCTTGCCAGGCAGGTGCTTATGCCACTGAGCTAAGTCCTCAGCCCTATGGTTTTTTTATTAAACCTTTTTAACCGTGTCATGCAGTATTTCAATTTGAAGATGTGTAATATTTTGGATTATAATAAACACAGAAACAATTATTTTTTCTGGCTTCTTTCTTAGGGAGATACACTGTCTTTTGCTGATGTCAGAAAGTAATTCAGTACTCTTAGTTTATGCAATAAAACATGATCCTAGACAGTAGATTGACATTTAACTCTGTAACTATTACGAAAAGACTCCAAATTTATTTGATTTCTAAGCAGTCTGCAATTTCTGACATAGATAGGAGAGTAAGTTGATTGATCAGAAAACTAAGTTGGTCAATTTGCAGAATACCTTCAGAAGTAATAGAACCCTCCACATTTTAACAAATTAATCACAGGTGTTAGCCTCTTATATGGTATGTTTTTACATTATTTTAAAAACTAACTGACGGCTGAGGATGAGCTCAGCGGCACAGCATCTACCTGGCAAATGTGAGGTCTTCAGTTTGATTCCTGGTAGCAAAAAAAAGATTATCTTGACCTGATTCCTGTGAGGTGCAGAGACATAAGTAAGGCTGTTCTGAATTCATAGGACTGTTTGACTTTCTTTGTCTTACTTATTCTGTACTAAGGCCTGCAACTTGCTATTCTTCCATCTATATCTTACCTCTTTAGGCCTTTGAGAGGTTGTGCTCATTTACTAATAATTTTGTAAACAGGAAGCATTTTTTAAAATTATTATATGTTCAAGGGCTGATCAAAAATACAGTGTGTTTAAATTTTAATAATTTATTGCAATAACAGACACACTGACATTAATAGTTCTCATTTCAGAATAGTCATGGTTTCAAAATAGTTCCTTAGTCCCTATCACTTCAGACACACTTATCCTATCATCCTTGCAGCTTCTGAAAAAGTTCCAGAAGTCTTCTTTCATAAATGTCTTTACCAAGTGTGAGTACTACTGCCAAATGCTGTCCAACAGGAAGGCAGGCTTGTGAAATCCTTACTGTATGTCCTCATACATGGAACTGTGGGACTTCTGGTTCTCCCCAAGGTCAAAATATGGAAGGCAAACACTTTGAATTGATTTGGGTTACAGAAAGTGTCAGGAATGGTGGAATAAGAGTTTCTAAGTGTGTGTGGGGTGAGGGAGGGGAATTTGAGAGGAATTAATGGCAATGTCTCTTTTACTCTTTTCTACTGTAATAATTTTTTTAAATTAAACATTCACTGTATTTTTCAGTTTGTAATTTGATTGTAAACTTTTTTGAAAATTTTGGAAATTGTTCTTCTAAAAAGAATACATAAGTGTAAGTGACCTAACTAAAATGCAACTTCTTTGACAAGAAAGTGTTAACAATAAAAGTTAAGTACTATAGAATATTAATAGTACATTTATGTGACTTATGTTGTAAGTTTTACAGCTAAAAGTTTGTTTAAAAAGCAAATTTTTCTTTTCTCTTATTTTGGGGGGGAGGTTGTTTTGTTTTGCTTTGCCTTTTTGAGACAGGGTTTCACAATATGCAGTTCAGGCTAGCACTGAACTCATTTTGTACCCCAGGCTGGCCTTAAACTCACAGCGATTCTCCTGCCTCAGCCTCCTGAGAGCGTTGGTATTACAGGCATGCAGCATCATGCCTGGCTACATTACTTTTCTGACTGTCTTTGTAGTTTTGGTTAAAAATCTCTGTCACAACAATTTTTTAAAAGTTACCAAGACTATCTTTATAAAACTAGCTTAGTTTTTTTCTTGAAAAAAATGTACAAATAGTTCATGGAAATTAGCTCAGCTCCTTTATCTTGCTTGAAAAGACGTTAAATAGACTAGTGATGGTCACATTCCTAATCTTAGTGGTTAAAATTGTCTATCCTCTTGCGGTGCAGCACTTTTTGCCACACAGTAGTAGGAGAAGGAGGCAACTTATCTGCAAACTGTTTGCTAGAAGATAGTTTTGGCTTAGACTCAAAAGCCAAGAGAAGTACACGTTGGCTGTGCTTAGGGAAAAAAAAAACGCAGAAGTTGCTTGCAACAACTATGGTTGCTGTTTTGTTTTATTGGCCTTTTGAGACAGTGTCTTGCTATGCAGTTCAGGCTAGCCTTGAACACTACGTCATCCATGCTGGCCTCAAACTTGTATCAATTTTTTGTGCCTCAGCCTTACAAGTAAGGTGTGCAACACCACACTCAGGTTAATTGCTGCTCTTTACCTGGCTGCCAGCAACCCTTGTATCTCCCTTGCAGCTACAATGTTGCCCTCAAAATAGCATTGTCTTTTCCCACTTTCCTTGCCTGTGAATGAAGAGATGAAAAAAGGAAGAAAGGAAAGGGTGAGGAAAAGTTTTTCTGAGTAGTGCACTGATAAAGGAGTGCTGTCTACAAGTAACAGTCTCCAATGTTGATGCTTCAGGTTTTTTCTGAAGTTCATTGCAGGTGGATTTATAAGTCTCTACACACAGTAGAAAAATTTTTAATTTATAATACTATCTTTTTAAAATGTTTGTATTTAAAATAAATTTTATGGTCAACTCTAGACATTGCAGCAGTTATTTAAATAGATTTAAGATTTCTTCATTGTTGTATAACAGTGTAATATTTGAATTTTTCAAAGTACAACTCTTGTGACTTCATTCAGAGAGACACATTGTTTGTAGTAAGTGCGATGTACCATGACTTTGTTCTTTGTTTTGCTGGGATATAAATGTTTTAAGTCTGCTTTATGCTCATGGCAAACTAGATTTTACTTTCGTGTCCTTTCCCTTGTGCCAAACTTTCAAAGAGTTCATTGGCTGACTTTATCTCAAATATAATTTTTAAACATTCAAACAAATACACTTTTTATTCTGTGAAATGTATGGACTAGTAATTATATTCTTATTCACAGAAGTAATATGTTATTGAAGGATGTTCGTAAAGTTGTGTTCATAAAGTTCATAGCCTTTTAGTGAAGAGAATTAAAGAAATATCTTATTTTTAGAAAGAGGTGTCAGATTTATTTTTCCCTACATTTAAGTAGAATGTGTTTTTGTCTATAAATAGTACTCATGTTTAATTATTAACATTTTAACTTTGGTAACTAGTTTTGACAGATGAATATTTCCAAATTAAAGCTTGGCTGTAATTTCTCACATAGCTACTCTGGAACTAAGCCTGTTTTAGTATCACTTTGACATTTCCTGAAACCCCAAAATAGAAGCAATTTCAAACACTCAGCTTTAGTTTTATTTTATTTTGTTTTAAGATTTATTACATCATTTCTTAAGTACTCAAATTGTTAAAAGAAAAATTAAGAGTAATTTAGAATTCATAATCTTGCAAAATTCTTGTTTTGCTATTCCTGTAATATATACTTTTGTGAATATCTTATGTTAAAATGTTAGTAAGACATTAATAATCATGATACTTATTCTTCCAGCTTTCCTCGCCCTGTGAAGACTACTTGGTTAAACCGAAATGCACCAGCACAAAACAAAGATTCTGTGATTCCTACTCTTGAAAGTGTGGTCTTTGGTATCAACTATACAAAACAGTTATCACCAGATGTAAGAACTGGAAATATTTATGTCTTTTTTTTTCTTACATGTTTTGTCCTCCTACTTTTAAAAGTTCTTAACTGTTTTATGTATGAATATGATGTTTCCTTCATTAATTATTTGAACTTAGCAATTTAAAGCTGTAATTAAATATGAAAGAAATTGGTTAATTCCACTTAATGTTGTGAAAACCAACTTGATATTTCAGATTTTACCAGACTTAGTGAATCTCTAGCTTTGGTGGACAGTGCCTTTCTAAAGCTTCTTTCAGTCCCCTCTTGCTCCCTTAATAGAACTGGTAACATCATTGCAAAGGAGCCTTTAATGAACTATGGCCAGAATTGAGATCCAACTTAGAGAAGTAACCATTATGACCAACGAAAGAGGATTTCTGTTGCACTGATTAGGCAGTGCCTGTCCCTTACCCCAGATATGATACATTATTTCATCTCTCTGTTTTTTAGTTAAAGTGTGGTCACAGTTTATGCATTTACTTATTAACTTATTTGCTTATTACTTACGCATTTACTTATTATTTAAACAACTAAATATTGCTGAATTTCTTATGTTTTAGGATAAGTTTTTGGAAATGTTTAGATATTTTTAAAATTTTCATAGGAGTCAAGTATAATAGTTCCAGATTTGGGGTTGCTAACATTTTGTATTCCCAATCTGATCCTTGTTTAGGGTTGCAGTTTCATCATTGCTGACTCCTTCCTGCATCATGCCTACCGTTTCCATTACAGCCTTTGTGCCATTTTGCTGCTAGCCTTCAAGGGATTGCACAGCTACTTCATTACGGTAACAGAAGAGATTCCCTCTTGTCAGAAACTAGAACTGGGTATGTCAAAAGTGGCCAGACCTATCCTCTGGTTCAAGTCATTCTCTTTAATCTTCTGTTGCTTGTTAGCAGCTTTCATGTAGTACTCAATACTAAATCTAAAACATTTATATGCTTTACTTTTATTTCTGTCTTAATCTCATCTCTTTCAGCCTTTGATAATCATTTTTTGCAGTTTAAAACTTTCGTTACTACACAGAGAAATAACTTGTTGGTGCTAAATTGATTTGAAGTTACCTCACACCTGTTGTTCCTTTTATATCACTTAAAGGAATAACATAACTCAGTGTTCCAACATTTTCAGAATTACTTAAATCATTTAAAAAGTCCAGCTGCAGTATTAATCCAGAAGAGTATTGTATCTGCAAATGTTATTAAAAAATCATATTACTTTTATTTTGTGTAGCATTTTTTAGTTTGCAGAATATTTTGTCATGCTTTACAGAAGACATATCATTGGCAAAATAAGTCTTATTCAGACTTTTTATGGTAGTTTTATAACCTTTTATTTTCAAATATCAACTCAGGAAAAAGTACGTGTAAGCCAGGCGTGGTGGCACATTCCTGTAATCCCAGCTCTCAGGAGGCTGAAACAGGAGAATTGCCATGAGTTCAAGGCTATCTTGGACTATGTAGTGAGTTCCAGGCAAGCCTGAACTACATAGCAAGCCCTGTCTTAATAAATAAATAAATAAATAAATAAATAAATAAATAAATGTATATTATTAGCTCTTCAGAATAATTATTTTTATCATTGTATATTTGAGTAAGCTAGGAAATTTTAAAATTTAGTCAATGTTTGTTATATAGCTCTGTGTCCTACAAAGATGTTAGTATTTTAACAAGTTGATGCATTCTCAGAATAATCACTGTTAACGTTCTTGAACTTGAAACTAATTAGGCTTTTTATATAATAGTCAGTTTCAGATTACAAAATTGCAAGAAGTTTTAAGGATTTGTCCTCACCTCAATTCACCTCTAAAGAAAATAGTCAGTATTATAACACTGCCTATAAAGGGCCACTCTTGTGAATTTTTTTTCTTTTATTTGACTTTCATTAGTACATGTTTGCAGTACATAATGATTAAATTCATTGTAGGGGATTGACACAGGTATATGGATTTGATGAAGTCCAGTCAGTTTAGTCACACTTTAGTCAGTTTAGTCCACACTTCATTTGACTAAAGTATCGCTAAATTAACCAGCTAAAATATGTTTGATTCAGTAATCCTGATGTATATGCAGATACACAAGAAATAGGAAAATGTGTTTATACTTGATTGACCATTGCATTCTTCCTCAGAACAAAAATGGTACTGTGGGAAGAATAACCTTTTAATTATTTTCTGAAACAGACTCTTTTTTTTTTTTTTTTTTTTTTTTTTTGCTGTTTCATATACTTAGAATCCCTATTTCCCTAAGGAAATTTCTATAGGAAACAACTGCCTCAAATGTAAGTTGTTTTAAATGTTCTCTTTTAAGAATGAAAGAATCATTTATACAATAGAGTTAACTTGGTTTATTTCTTCTCCATAGTCAGTGGACAAATCACGTTCCATGTTTTTTTATTAGCTGGTTTGGAACTCAAAATATTTTTGTAGGATGGTTAAACCATTAATTAATGGTTTCAGTACAGATTGCTGTTAGGGAATTCAAGGGCTCATTCTCATGCTTAAAGTTAAGAGCACATTTGGAGTTACTTCTACTGATTGCTCACTTGTGTCTGTAATCACCAAGTGTTGCTATGTGAGAGTTAAGGACATTGAAGAGCATCAGTGTGGCTAGCAAGTCAGGAAGGAGAAGGTGTCCCAATGCTCTGGGAATAGAACTCCACAATGTGAGTGTCTGGGGCTCCTTTCAACTTGCTCGGCCCTCAGACTCTGCTCAAGGTGCTGACAAAGCATAGGTCTGTCTTTAAAGAACTTTGACTTCTGCTACCCTTTCACAGAAGCAGTAGTCACCTATCAGCTCAGTATAGGGATGGGTCGGAGAAACCCACAGAACAAGGCTGCTCTGGTTTTAAGTGTACTATAAAATGCTTGTATAAAGATGACCATCTGCATATAACATTCAAGTAGATTGAGTGTCTAATATTTACAAATAAAAAACCGTATGAACCACATCTTAATCTAGAAAAAGATATTTCTTAAAATTTAGGAAATATTTTTATCAGTCAAAAAATAATTAAATAAAAACATTTCTCTTTTCAAAAGTAAAGCCTTATTTCAAATACTTTAGACATGTTAGCATTGTCTTTCTATATGTTTAACTTCAGCCTTATATAATATCACCTAATTTTAGGTAAGAGTGGCATTTATATTATACACCTTTGGACTTATAAAAATAATATAGAAAATTTCATAATAAGAGTAGCCCCTATGTTTAATTTCAAAAGTCAGTTACTAAATGAATAGGAATGTAATTCCAAATTACTTGCTTAAAATGTTTAATCAAAAAATAGAATTTCTAAAGCAAATCAAAACTTTAATTTTAGATAACTATATTATAGAAATAGAATTAAAGTAATAGTACCTTATTAATATATCTTCTCAAAATTTAAGGAAATAGGACAATAAAGGTTTTATTGTTAGTTTGGCAAGTAAAAGTATCAACATGTAGCTTGTGATAATTAACTAGGAATTTTTACAATCTAGATTCATCTTTAGGAAGCGGGGCATAGTAGCAAATGCCTGTAATCCCAGCACCCAGTAGGCTGAGGCAGTAGACTTGCCATGAGTTCAAGGCCACCCTGGGCTATGTAAGCAAATTTAAGGCCAGTGCAAACTACATAGCAAGACCCTGTGTGTTTTGTTTTTTGGGGTTTAAGACATCTTTAGGAAATATTTATTGGTAATACTTTTTATTTTTCTTAAACTTTACTATTTATATTTTCAATTCTCTTTGTGAATTTTAGTTTACTCTAGAATGCATCCTTTAGGAGAACATCTAAAAATGCGTTTAACTTTTGAAAATAAAAATACTTGTTATATATTCTAAAACTTATCACTACTGTTTATTTTTGTTTTAGCAAAATAAAATTGTGGACATAAACATATTCCCATACTATATTGTTGACTAACCATCACTATATTAACCAATTCTAATAAATACATGTAAAGTAATTCTTGACTAGAGAATGTGTTAGATTTCTTTCAATTATTTAGCATTTTTCTTGAATTTTCAAATAAGCATATATTTAAATTCTTAAAAACCACAGTGCCTTCAAAATTTTATCTAAACTCTCTCCCCTCTTTTAAAATAATATTTTGAATTTCTTTCTGCTTTTTCGCTCTTTTTCCTAGATAAATGATGTACATTTTTTGATGACATGTTAAATATTGATTTGATTCAAGAAGCTTTACTGAAAATGAGAGTGAGGATTGCTAGAATCTAGGTTTTTTTTTCAAGTCATACAACCCATCCATGTCTTACATTTACATTTACAAATACATCTATGTATTTACATTTAAAAATACGAGGAGTTGACCTAGTCAGTGATGAAGAACCTTTTCAGCTTTCATTGATAACAAATTAGCAGAAGTGGCATGCGTGTGCCGTGGGTTTTCCACTACTGACCTAGGTGATATCTGGAATCCCTGCCAGTGCTTAAGTTCTGAGTCTAGAAATTGCAGCAGAACAATATTGGAATACAAAATATTGAATGGCACATACATTTACATAACAACTGTAGTAATATAAAGTTAAATGTACATCATTTATAATTCTGATAAGCTAATTAACTAACTGCACTATCAAATCACTACTAAATCTATTATTAACAAGTTGGAAAATTTTAGTACATTATGTTGTAAAAAGAGGGTAGTAACTAGTGCTGTGTGCAATCCTTATAACTAGCCAAAGCCAACATGCAGGTCCTATATGAACGCCTTCTCAGAAGAAAACAGCCAGGAACCCAGAAAGACTTCTGTGTAGGTATGTTTACATATAGGTTAATTAAAGCATCCTTTTAATTAGTAAGAAACTTTGATTTAAATTAATTTCAAATTTCATAAATGTATATTTTTATTTAATATAATGTATTCCTACCACTTTTAAGAACTTACATGTAAAATCAGTTTAGTTTATAAATAAATTTATAATATTGAAATTTTTACTTAAAACTGAGATTGGTAATTAAAATGAGTTTTTCCATATCCTGAATTTCTACAAAGACAAGATTTTCAAAACAATATGTATTACCAGCATTTGCTGGTTGAATGATATTGCCTTGTTTGCTTAAAGTAATTTTATCTTTGGCTAGGCCTAATGATAATGAATGTAGTTTAAAAACTAAAGCTAGTTTCATGCTGTCAAAATAAAGCAGAGAAACATCCTTACTTTCTGGTTTTCGGTTTTTAGTCAATTTGTAATTGACTGTATTCTTTTAAAAATAAATTTTTAAAAAGACTGTCAAATCACAGCTACACAGATACTATATATTTTAAAACAAATATTCTGAGCTTCCTATTTTATTTATGAATTTCCATGTTGTACTTTAGACTTTGTTCTTCCGTAGTGGTGGTACTTCATTTATTTTTTATATGTATGTGGACGGTTTTTATTTTGTGTTGTTACATTTTTAAAAGTTATGAAAAGTCATAGAAATTTAAAGTAAACATTTCTCATTTGACAAAAGTGTCAACAATAGGATAGAAGTTAAAATCTTTTTCAGTGTTTAGGTTGTATTCTTTTTTTTTTTTTTTTTTTTTTTTTTTTTTTATCGGTACCGGGGATTGAACTCACAACTGCCTGCCTGCAAGGCAGGTGCTTAAGCCACTGAGCTAAATCCCCAGCCCCTGGTTGTATTCTTTTTTACTAAAACTGTTAAACCGATTCTTTTGACAGGAGAAAAAAAGAAAGGTTGAATACTTACAGCTATTGGAAAAAATAATTTTATATTTTTATATAAAGGTAGTATAAAATCAAATTCATTTTATAAAATATTCCTCATTTATGTTTTAACATTATTTGTAATGATTAAGATAAAAATTTTTTGTTTAAATTACTGTACTGCCAGCCTGTCCATATACATGTGAAAGTTCTAAGTAGTTTCACAGAATGCTGCTTACTATACTATGGACTCCATGAAGCTTTCTTCAGAATTTGGCTGAGTAGAAAAATGACTGGATTCAAAACTATGTTTGATCCTTAAAATCTACCATTGTCCTGACATTTTCAGAACAGTATTATAAATATTATAAAGTATTATCAATATTGAATAAATGGAAACCAATGGTACATGAATAAAGAAATAAATGTAAGATACATATATCTTTTGAGTTTATTATCCTCACTTCTGATGATTTGTATCACAGAAATTAATGTATGTGAAGATATGTACCAGAGTGTTTTTTGTAGTAGTATTTGGAGAGGGGTCAAAATACTAAAAAGACAATAATCATCATTTGGGCAAACAAGAAATTATGATGCACCCAAAAAAAGGAAGATTGTTTTAATAAATACTCAGATTAGAATGCTAATTCCCATGATTACAGAAAATGTGTAAAATACAATCCTATTTTTTTAATGTTGTCTCTAAAACTCATGTATGTATGTTTGAGAATTGTATGTTGTAAAATTTAAACTTGATTAGAAAAAGGAGCCAATCTCCTCAAAAAGAGAATTTATATAAAATAATGATCATATTTGTATATTTATATAAAATTGTCATTTTATATCATGTTTTGTTTTAGGAAGAAACATGTAGTTACAGTGAAATTTTTATTTTGTTTCTTGTTTTTTTGGTACTGGGGATTGAACTCATGATCTCATACTTACCAGGCAGGCACTTAGGCCGCTGAGCTAAATCCCCAGCTCCTACAGTGAAATTTTTAAACTTAGTTAAAAATCCTAGAAGACTTTGAAATGTTTCAGTTTTAATATTTCAAAGTTAAGTTTTGCTTTTATACTTAACCCTCACTGAATAATGCAAATGTACTGTTCTATGCATCTAGGTTCTGAGATGCAAATATTAGAAAACATGGGGGCTGGGGATTTAGCTCAGTGGCATAAGCATCTGCCTTGCAAGCAGGCTGTCGTGAGTTCGATCCCCGGTACCGATAAAATAGAAAAAGACAAAAAAAAAAAAGAAAAGAAAACATACTAAAACTTTATTTTTCATTTTCTAAAATTTGTGGGTAAGATATATGACTTACTAAAACAAATCTTAATGATTTCTGTCACAGGAAAAGATTATGAGTAATGTGAAAATAGATACTGGCAGACAAAGGCTGTGAGTTTAATGCAGCATTTGCTGCTTGTTTTAGTTTTGGAAAAGCTTACGTTAGCTATTCACTTTTGAATATTTGAAATGACTTGTGAAGTTAGAGCTAATGAGTGAATTTCAGAATGTAATAGAATGTATACTTGCTTTTGTGGAGAATGATCAATTAAACTTATTTTCACAGGAGTACAGAATTTTGATGATCATGACTATGTAGTTATCTTTCCTTTAAGAATCATCATTTTACTTTTATTTCAGTTAAAATTATATCTAAAGGTAATATTTCAGTCTTTAATATAATTCCTGCCCTATAAATATAATACATTTTTCCATTCTATCATTTTTATTACCTTAGAAATATTGCCATTTTAATTGTAAATCATACATTTCTTTTTAGATGATTATAACATACAGTAAAAAGACCACTGTTGTAGATACAAACTTGCCTCACTTTAAAACTGTCTTATAGAAATCTAAATTTGTTCAACTATTAGAAGCTTTTTTTTTTTTTAATCGGTACCGGGGATCGAACTCACAACCACCTGCTTGCAAGGCAGGTGCTTATGCCGCTGAGCTAAATCCCCAGCCCCTACAAGCTTTTTTAAAAAAGAATTTTGTCATTTGTTTTCATGAAATAACCTATATTAAGTGTATATTTAAAATTTTTTAGATTAATTTCACTTCGACTTTTTAGGAATGGTTTTTATAAAGAGCATGACATATATGTATATAGCACAAAGTATTAAACTTTACTGAAAATAATAAAATATGAAAAACAATAAAACCTAATTAGGTTTGGCTTTTCTGTGACATAGTTGTGCTGATTATATCATAGAGTCTATATTGTTGACAGCATAGACCTCTTGTAAGAATTGAAATACTATTTAATGATCAAACACATTGAGTTGCCGTATCATCTTAGTAGCTAACATGTTTGTGAAGATGTATGACATGGAAATTTAATTCATTGAGTGTAGCCCAAATAGTTCTGAATCAGCTCCTTTTTTAAAGGGAGTTTACTTATGTATAATTTCAATTTCATAGTTTTTAGACCTAACTCTGAAATATTTCCCCTACTTTTTACCCCTTTCAGAAGAAATGGATGTAGAAGCTCGACTTACTGAACTATGTGAAGAAGTTAAGGTACTTGGATTTTAAAAATTTATATTTTCAATTATTTCAGTTTGTTTCCTATTCTAAGTATTTTGTCTAAACAAATTTAATTATCTTTTCTTAAAATATAAGATAAATTGATTGTTTATGGTAGAACCACAACTAAGTTACTTGAAATAACATATTCTTGTGCATGTAAGTGACCTAGTAAGAACAATTAACTGATCTAAAGAACATACTGTCTTGTGTTAACTCAATTTCCAGGCAGATATTTAAGGCATCATTTATACTTGTGTGATTTCATGACATGATTATTCTTTTAAAATGGCAATTTTTTTCAACTTCAGCAGATGAGTTTGTGTCTGACACCATTTTTCCAGTTCTTTCTTGCTGCTAAATTGAATAGATTTTTTTCTTTGTCCTTTTCTTTGCTTTCAGTCTCTCTCTGTCTCTCTTTTATTGTTTCCTATAAAACTAATGTTTTGACTTTTAAATTCACTCTGTGTCAGCTTCATAAACAAAGATTCAGGGAGACCTGAATCAAATAAACATACTTGGCTTGGAGTGTATTTCTATATATCAACTTCAATGGGGACCAGGCTGCTTTGAAAAAGAATTTGCCGTCTCAAAAAAATTGTACATATTCAGAGAATTCAAAGGATAAGATGCTTCCTTCAGCCAGGCATTGTGGTGCATTCCTGTAACCCCAGCACTTAGGAGATGGAGGTAGGAGGATCCTCACAAGTTTGAGACCAGCCTACGCTACAAAGTAAGCTCAAGGCCAGCAAGACTTGGTCCCAAAAAAAAGCAAAAACAAAAGCAAAAAAGATGCTTCCTTCAGATTTACAGTAAAGGACGAAATTAGATACTGATTATTGAGATTTTTATAATATAATCAAAGTTGAAAGGAAGCAGTCGATTGGAGACTTACATGTATTAAAAACCTAAAAAGCTATGTTTTTTATCATGTTTATGTGATTATACATAATATTTCAAATGATATATATGTCAAGTTCTTTGCAGTAATACAGAAAAAAGTGTGATGAAAAATAAAATTGTAATTATATACATATACATTATGTTATGCTCATGTTACCAGTAGACATTTTTTGGTATGTATGATTAAATTTCAGTATGTAAATGCATGTTATAAAACTTCATATCAACATTCTAGGATAAATTTTTAACAAAGTGAAATAGACAAAAATATTTAAAGAGCTAAATAAAATATATAATCACTATTTTTCATATTAGACGTATTAAATACCCAGTTACAAAAGAAAAGGCTAATATATGAAAAACATTGTCTCATCAGTTATAAACAAAACTTTAACTATTCTGACACCATTTTTAATCTGTCATATTACCTGTGAGCTTTTTATTATAACCGTGTTTCTTGAGATGTATTAAAAGTGCATATTCTCAAATGTTGTAGGTTGTTTTCAAAGATTGGTTTGGTATTATGTATCCAAACCAAAAAGAATATCTCTTCTCCATCTATATAAAGAAATTGTCAAAGATTCTTATGAAGTTTTATAATAATAGTGAAAACAAGATCCTAAATATGCAGCAGTAAAATGGTGAAATGAACTACATGTCATTCATTGCCTTTAAAAGTTTTACGCTTTAAAAATAGTACAGCCAACTAATATTCGATGATGTAGGAAAACATTGTGTTCAGTGAAAATGGCACAAAACTACATATGATTTTACTTTTATGGATATAGCTGAAAAAAGTTGAAACCTATACACTAAAATGAATTTCTTTTCTTTTTTGCTTTCCTCGTCTTCAAAACAATAAGCAATATTTTGTAATCAAATAACATTATAAAAATGTATACATTTTAAGATAGGGTATTATTTCAAAAATACACAATCCTAAAATTTTATTCCTATGTTTATGCATTTAAGCAATAAATTCTGAATTCCATTGTTAACCTAAAAATATTTCGATTTTTCTGTGATTTAGTTCAGAGATTTATGCAAAACAGAGGCATAATATATTTATACTTGAAGGAATACTTTTCTGATAATGAAAATACTAAAATTCTCATTCAGAAATTTAGTGTCACAACCCCTAGGAAATGAAATTAATAGTTACAGGATACCTAGATAATTTACTCTTAGGAAAAAATAAGGTGAAGAGGATTATCTGTGCTTTATTGTAGACTGTTCTGAGTATAGTGTTGCTTATATTACACAACGTTACTTAATCACTGTCAAGTGCTCATTCAATTCTTTATCTCAGATCCATTAAAACCATCTTTAGGATAGTAATACAGATGATGTTGTATTTTAAACTTTATGTGTTAAAGACTTGAGGAACTTAGCTATATTTCTAACACATTTTATAAAATCATTTCCTGAAGCAGAAACATCTGTGCCTTGATCATACATTAACACATCCATATTTATCATGTGTGGACCCTTAGCTTGTGTTGCACAATTCTGGCATTTGCAAACTTTGCTGAGTTTGCCACAAATTTTTGAGGACTTTTTTCTCAATTAAAGTTTGTATTTCCTCATTCACGCATTTATTAGCTTAGTAAATACTTGAGTTACTACCATGTATCATAACTAGAGTCACAAAAACGAAAGTTCATAATCATAATCCTTACACTTCTTACCATTATTAATTTGTGTTTTGTGTTCTCTCTGAGTTAAGATAAATGGAAACTTGATTAGATGAGGGAAGAGAAGCCCTCTGAGTTGTAGATTTCAAGGAGAAGAAAATATAAACTAAAAGTATTAGTATTATATGTAATATATACCTTTTGTGAATATATTTTTTAGAATTTTAATATATTGTTAAATATTTAAATATAAAAAATATAAACATTTACTATACCTGGTACATTTTTTAGGGCTGGGGATGTGTGGCTGCATGATAGAGCTCTTGCCTAGCGTGTATGAAGTCCTGAGTTTCAGTCCTACCCCACAAAAACAAATGAATGAATGAGTCTGTAAATAAATAAGAAAAAAGTGTTTTAAGTACTTGGCTATATTTTGCACACATAGACACACATGTATCATGATAAAACTATGATGTTTAAATCAAAAATTAAACTTTAGTAAAGGACACATTGCCATTAATTCCCTCAAAATATTCCACCATGCTTGGGATCCATGTATCCCATTGTTCTTAGCACTTTCTCAAGCTATGCTAGAAATCCTTTTTCATATCTTTGTGTTGTCATGCTTGCATTGATGTACAGAATCAATTTAAAACATTTACAGCAATTTGTGTTAAATAGAGAAATGGCCGTCACCAGATCTAGTGCCATGTGACTTCTGGCTCTTGCCCAAGATTAAAATGGCCATAAAAGGCAAATCTTTTATTATTTTTCAGAATATTTATAACTTTCATAAGGGTTTATACATTATGTGTAAAATTATTAGTAAAGCATTTTGATGTTGGAAGTTGATCATGTTCTAGAATTCTGATGTCTAATTTTAGGTTAATTTTAGTTGACATTATTTTAGTAATAAGCTATCTCAAATATTAAATGTAGGTTAAATAGTTGAAAATTGTTTAAGCAACTGTCGGTTAGGTAGAGAATCACTGGTCCGTTGGTCCATCTCTACATAGTTGTGCACATACACATCTCCTTTTTTAAATCATAAATTTATCTTTGTGCTATTATTTGCAATAATATGTCTAAAAATGTTGCAGTAAGTCCCAGGAAGCAACTTTTTTTTTGTCATTTCAGAAAATAGAAAATCCTGATGAACTGGCAGAACTTATAAATATGAATCTTGCACAGCTCTGCTCACTTCTGATGGCTTTATGGGGGCAGTTTCTAGAAGTTATAACATTACATGAAGAACTCAGAATATTATTAGCACAGGAACACCATACTTTAAGGGTAAGTTAAAGAAAAGTAGTGTTAGAACATTTTAATGACTGATCTATATCTTTAGAAATTTATTTTTAAAATTATTTTTATTACTACATGTTGTAGAACTTAATGATTGTATTCACTATGGGGAATTGGTGCCAGTACATTTAAAAGCCTGGTTTTTATCTAATGTTGCTAAATCAGAAAAGTGACATTTATCATTGTGTTACTGTTTAACTCTGAAAGTTAATACTGATGTCTCAGTCACAACCCCTGCTAGCAAGAAAAACTACCTCTAGTAAATAAAATGTCAAAATAGATGATAAAAGATAGTTCCTTGGACCCAGAAACAGACGTTATAAACCTTGTTAGGCCTTAGGAGGAATGGGAATCAATAACTAGACAGTCAAATGGAGCTGCTTCAGTTTCTCTCACTTCTCCCTTTCTTGTCTTCATTCTCTCTCTCTTCCTCACTTTATTTAAAAATAATATAAACTTGGGAGGGCGGGGAAGTAGTCTAGTCTGCTTTGGCCTATTGTGGAAATTATACAGAAAGTTTTGCTCCATTTTACTGTATATCATCTCAAGTGGTTGCACTTAGAAATAATCGTTATCCTGTCCTCTATGATGATGAATTCTTTGCTTTTAGTTTTACCGTGTATGTATGCACACTAAATAAGAGGTTATGTTTCTGTTAGTGAATTCAGTATAAATTAGGTAATGTACTATACTTGTGTTCTCTTATATGCTACATTTTTTATTCAAGGATTTGTGAAATTGATGTTTTTATTCATAGATGCCAATTGTTGATTTTCATTGCTGCGGTGTACTACATTTGAATGTATCCACAATTTATCTGTATTGTTGCTGTACAGTTGTATTGCTTCCAGTTTATAACTTTTAAACTAAGCTACTATGGACATATTTCCTGGTATAACAGTTTATCTGAAATATTTACCTGCAAGAGAAATTACTGAGTCATAGGATATTCGTAACTTCAATTTTATTAGCTAATTCTACACTATTTCCTAAGTACTACCAATTTTCACTCCATCACTTTATATGAGAATTCTTTATACTCCACATGCTCTCCAACTCTTGATCTTAGCCAAATTTTTAAACTTTGCATGTCTGGTGGATGTGAAATGTTAAATCATTGTAGTTTTATCTTGCATTTTCCTGATGACCCATGTAGTCAAGCATCACATTAGATGGTACTGAGTATACAGATGCTCCTCATTTAACCACCTACCTGTTAAGCGACTATTTGGATTTACCATGGAGATGCGCTATTTGGACTAATGACCCACCACTCAGACTTAGGATCTGTGTTTTGGTTTTTGTATATTTCTGTACATTTCATTTATAAAGTTAATTATTTTGTACAGTACACTGTTTATACAGTACTGTAATTTTTGCTGATTGTACCTTATAGTATAGTACTCTAGTTTTATATTCTGTTATACATTATAGTACTACATGTAAGACTTGCGCAAATAAAAGCAAAGTCATCAAGTTGGAGTTTCCTTTGCCCATTTCTTTGTTCTGAATATTGTAATGTATATACTCTATATAATTCTTCATTTAGTGACCAGTTCATTTAATGACCTAGCTGCAGAAACGAAGGAATGTCAGTATAGATTTCTTCTTTGTAAAGTGCCTCTTCAAGTCTTTTGTCTGTGTTTCTGGAGGACTATTTTTTTTTCCTTGATTTAGGACAATTTTCTGTATATTCTAAATTCTAGTTCCTTGATAAATGTATTTAAAAATAGATATGTTTTTTCTCTTGTCTTGGTGAATAGGAGATCTTAATTTTAGTATAAAAGGAACAGAATAGAAAGGCTAAATTTAGACATATCCTTTTGACATAATTTACGTGACTGTCAGTTTGAAAATGTGACATTTTCAGTAAGTGATACGACAGTTGAGTATTCATGTGGGAAAAAATTATATACAATTCACTTGCATTTGACTTAAATGTGAAAGGCACACTACAAAACTTGTAAATATAAAAAACTTACAGAAATACTAGTGTTAGTTACCATTTTAGCACATTTATTTTATCAGTTCTTTTTATGTGGAGATACACACATAAATACATACAAATGTACTTTTATTTCCTGAACCAATTATTAGACATAATATTCTTTTGTCTGCAAATACTTGAGCAGATATTTCCTAAGAACAGAGACATTCTACCACTTAAGTGTTAACAACTGTAGAAATTTTTATATTGATTTAATACTGGTATCTAGCATATGACTCATTTATACTTTGCCAGTTGTCATCCTGTCCTACATGGCCACTTTTTCCCCATTTTCAGAATCAGATTCAGGATCCCACATTACATTTAATTATAATGTCCCTTTCAACTCCTTTAATCTGGAATAGTGCCTTACCTTTCTTTGTCTTTCACAGCTTTAACTTTTAAGAGTATTAATCAGTAGTTGTGTAGACAATCTCTAAGTTTGGGCTTGTATTATATTTTGTGATGATTAGATTAAGGTAATACATTATTATTGGGAATTCTATTTTTTTAATTTATATTGGTAAATTATAAGCATGTATTCTGTTCCCATTTTTAATTTGTTGTTGTCAAATATAGTAAAAATTACAGTGAATGTTTAAATTTCAGAAAAATACATTAAAAGACACATTGCCCCTTAGAATCCTCCCTCACTTCAAACACATTTGTCCCATCCTTTTCCCACTTTCTGAAGGCATTCTGAAAGTCCTCTTTTTGTAGCTTTACGAGATATGATCAAAAATGTGGTAAATGATGTTGCCAAGCACCTTAAACACAAAGGAAAGTTCAAAAAATTTAGATGTGCCCTCATTCAGCTTACTTATCAGATCTGATAGCAAGCAACTTCTGGCTCTTCCCCACAGTCAAAATGACCATGAAAGGTAAATCTTCTGAATCAATTCAGGACATCATGGAGGCATGAGAGCCCACCTAAAGACACTTGCAAGCCATAGTATCTATCTTATTTCCTTCTCAGTGAGACAAGTACCTAACATCAGAAATGTAAAGGTGGCAAAGTTATTTTGCCTCACAGTTTAGTTCACAGTTGGCCACCTCCCGGGTGGAAAGGCCTGACAGGTGGACCAGGGAAGGAAAGCTGCTTAGGAGCCAAGCAAGGAGGCATTGCTAGCATAACAGCAACTTCATAGTGTGAGGATGAAATTTTCCTGAGTGGAGTAGAAGTAAAAAGGTGAATTGAATACTATAGTCAGAAAGTCCTAGAGAACACAATTTGTGGTGAAGAAGGAACAAAGGAAGCCAAGCTAAAAATCAGATTTGTGAAAAATTACAATAGCAAAGATAATCTTTTACCTAGAGCTTCTGTGTATCTGACCCTATTTCAGGATACCAAAATAGCACGTATTTTAACTTGGAGTGAAGAATGGGTAACTGAGATACCATGAAGAGATGCCCTTATGTTCCTTAAACAGGATAAACTTCTTGCCCTAATCTGTAGTGCATCACAAAAACTAGAAAAGATAATGCAGTATACATACAGTATTTTGGCTCCTATTCATGCAATTCAGTGGGAACTTTACTCATAAAGTATCTCAGGTGCTCTTAGAGTGTATTGCTAAGCCTACAGGAAGCAAAGTAGTCCAGAGGTCATTCAGTGTACAGACTTACCATAATAAAGAATGCAGGTTTTCTGATAATGTGTTCAGAAGCAGTACAGTTGAACTACATCACAAAAATAAAACTCCAGGATAAATTCTCTCCTTTTTGATGTGAAAGCAAATAGTGGAGGGCTGAGGTAGAAGAATTATCAGCATTAACTAATTTAACTCATTAAGAAAAACCCATAAACACTGTGAACATTATATCATCCCAACTTTACAACACAAATAATAGATTGGGAAGGTGAGATGATTGCTTAAAGCTGCATGGCTGGTGAGTGGTAGGGACCTGTTGCTTCCACGTTCCATCTGTTCTGTGCCTTTTCAGAAGATCAAAATCAAGAGAATTCAGACTTAATTTGTAGCAAAATGGAAGGAACTAGAGGACATTATGTTAAGGAAAACAAGCCAGCCACAGAAAGAGAAGTCCACATGTTCACTTTTATATGTGGAAGTTTAAAAATAGATATTTACTTGAATGTAACCCAATCTTTACTTAGAGGATGAGGAAGGGGATATGATTTTGATTTAATGAATGTATGCACTTTGTATATATGTATTGAAATAGCACGTGATCTTCTTTCATATATACAAAAATAATGCATTGTGTTAAAAATAAGATCCTTGGCACTACAAAAAAAATAATAAAGGGACTTAGTAATAGAGCTCTTGCCTACCATGATTGAGGTCCTGGGTCCAGTCCACAGTGCGGCAAAAATTAAAAATAGAAAGATGATAATTGCCACCAGGGAAAGAAAAGTAAATCAAGAATTCCAATAAAATAGAATTCCAGACTTGACATTAGAATACCATTCATGGGGCTGGGGATTTAGCTCAGTGGCTTAAGCACCTGCCTTGCAAGCAGGCAGTCATGAGTTCGATCCCTGGTACCGATAAAAAAAAAGAATACCATTCATTATGATGCAACTTTCAGTATATTTATTTTTCCATGTGAATTTAAACAGAATACACCATTTTCCTTTTATTCCCTGAAATAAATCATTTTAAAAATGCTCTGGACAAGTAAACATGCCACTGATGGCCTAATTAGGAAATTGCCTCATCAGAGCCTGACTGCCCTGAAGGAAAGGAAATAACCAAGTGTAGCTCACTGTAGCCTTCTGTATGAGAGAAGGCAGCTGGTCAATGTATGTGTTAATAGAGAATTGCACATTAGAATAAGACATCACTATACCTCCATAAGAATTGCTAGAATCCAAAATACTGACCAAAAAAAATTTTTTAAAGACAACAACAGAAACATTGACAACACCAGATGTTGGCAAGAGGTGGAACAACATTCCCTTTCACTGTGGATGGAAATGCAGAATGAGATTGCCACTTTGGAAGGCAATTTGGCAGTTTCTTACAAAACTAAACATACT